AAGAGAGCAGCGAGGAGATGTTCCGCTCCGGCTTTCACTTGTGTGCGAAAGAGGTTCTTCACTATCTGGCCGGCCAAGAAACTAGCCAGGACCTGACTCCTTCCCATGTCATCAGCCACATTCAAAAGGTGGCAGCTGAAGTCCTGCATAATCAAAGCGGCCCGAACCCGGACGATTCCATCCCACAAGCGTCAGAGAAACTGAAGAAACCTGCTGGACAGCCTCAAAGGGTGTCTGAGGTCCCTGCCAAGAACTGTGTGCCTGTCATTCAAAGGACTTATCCCCATGGGATGGGGGAGCAGAGTGGCAGTGATACGGACACTGACAGCGGCTATGGAGGAGAACGTGACAAGTGTGACCCAAAAGCTCAGTGGTCAGAGAGCCACGCGAAGGAGGGGGAGCTCAAGCAGGCTGAAAGGCAGGCTGAAAGGAGGTCCATCAAGCAGGAGGGCGACGAGCCTCTGGCCAAAAAGCTAAGGTCTGACTCTCCAGAGGATGAGATACTCCCTGGTCAGATGGTGGGAAGCCCTGGCAGTTATATGGGCCTCTCCCCCAACCAGCACCCGTTTTGTCTCCCCTTCTACCTCGTCCCCCCTACAGCTGCAACCGCTGCAGCATACCTACCAATGCTGGAGAAATGCTGGTACCCCGGGGGCATGCCGGTTATGTATCCCGGTATGAGCAGCTCAGCCGCGAGTTTGCAGACACTTCCCTCATCTCTGGTGAAGTCCCAGAGGGCAGGGTCTCCCGTGCCCCACCAGAGCCCCATGGACTCCCACTCACTTCACAAAGCTTTAAAGCATGTCTCCCCGTTGAACCTGGAACCCAAAGACTGAACAGATATGTTTCTGTTTGATACCCTTCCCTCCGAATGTAGATGTGGTTGAATGGTTGGAACACTGGGAAGAAGGTAAATGGACACAGACGCACTGGTAACCCTACAAACCACAGTCATTGTTGAGCCTATCAGAATTTTGACCCCATCAAAAAAAACTCAAATGGCTACCTTATTTCTAGGCAGGTCTTCGCACACTGAAACAGTACTTTTCTGTGCAACATGGACTAGCCATGAGAAGGCTCATAATTTCTCACAGGTCCCATGGCTCTAGAACACTGTGAAGATCAGTTTTGGTCAGTTTAAAGATGACGAGTGCTCAAGATATCCAGAGAGATAATATTTTTTGGAAGGTTTGTCTTCTCAGCACTCTGTGATGAATGTCAGAGGTCAAGTCAGAATGTAAGGCATAGATAAGCCCCCCAAAATTATTTGGACCTACTTTTTTTGCACACAGAGTATGTCATGAATGTAAAGTTTGTACAACCGCCCCTTGTAGATGCTGCTTGAAATATGATTACCTGCTGTAGATCTGTGAATGGAGGATCCACCTTCAGTCTGAGTTGCTTTTTTAACTTCAACAAACTATTGATTAAAATTTTACCAAACAAAGAATCTGGTTCACGATGACAAGCGATGTTAAAAAAAAAAAAAAAAAAAAAATACATTGCTCACTTGACCCCTAAAATACCTTGCAGCTTAATTGAACACAAGTGTGCACGATGTTCAAAAATGTCAGGGCGTTGTCATCGTACGAGGTGTGTCACACGTGTCTGTTAAAAGTGATGTGGCCATACGCGCTTTTATGATTTAATGTGTGACTCATGAATATTTGTGTATTTACATAGAGTTCCTGTTAAGTCATGTCTTGTAATTATTTTTTGTTTATACTACTTGTACATCTCTATTTTTGATACATGACCCACTGAGTGTATTTGCATCGCTACCAGGCAAGGGATGAGGTAGTTGTGTGCTGTATCTAAGAGAAAGTGTACAGCATAGTGCGTTGTGTTCAACCAGATTTGCATCTTGCCCACAATTCCCTGTCATGTTAAGGCCTGACCTTAGCTCATTCTGTTGCCTTTACTCGATTAACACAGACACAACAATTGCAGGTTTTTAAATGTATTTTGCTTTAAAAGTTGTGTCTGTGGCAAAAAGAGTGAATGTAAAGTTCTAACTAAAGTAATAGTTTTGTATAGCAAGAGGTACTTGGGATTTTTATTTTGAAATGTAACAAAAGGATGTTTGTTGTACATATTTTGTATATAAAGTATTATTGGTATATATTAAATATTAATAAAGCATTTTTTTCCCACGTTAAATTGGTGTTTTTCTGCCGTCTTGTCGGCGGCCAACCTTACAGCTCTTCACAACAACACATCCTTACATAACACTTACATAACCTATGAAGCAGCAGAGCCTGTGTAAATCAATAGCTGCTCTTAGATTACAGGCTGTAAACATTTACAGTTCTAAAACCTTTTAAAGGTGTTAGAACTAGATGTGAGTAAGGTTTGGGTCAAAGCATACATTTATAAATATTTTTTAACTACAACTTGTACCTTGTAATAATTGAATAAATCTTGGGACAAGATTTAATTTCTTTAATTGGTCTACTGTCATTATGACACTATAACAACTCAAAATATAATCAATTATGGTAACTGAGAACGGGGTAATATATTTATATTTATATATATATATATATATATATATATATATATATTTTATTTTATTTTTTTTCAACATAAATATAAAAGATATAGAAAGAAAATACAAATGAACAGAATTAGCCTGTGATGTGATTGTGATTCTGAATGTGGTCTAGTAAGTCTGTCCCATAGAGTTTTTTTTTTTTTATGGTTTACATACTGATATTATATTCAAAGTTTGCTGAGAAGGAGCAGAAAATGTGTCTGATTACTCCACTTGTTACCACTATGGTTGGAAAAGTTACTTCAGGCAGTGGGAGGAAGATGTCATATTCTTCTACCCACCATGTCTCCCTGATACATTTTGAGATGACACCATTTGTTTGATCAATGAAGTGTTTAATTACTCTTTAAGTACGTTTCCCCCCCCCCCAACACCTTATTTTCAGATTTACTGTTGATAGATCTGTTGATATAAATGCAGTGCAAGCGCCACCTTGTGGAATTACTGGCTACAGCTTTCACAAAGAGGAAATTGCAGGAATCTTACCTAATCCACCGCCAGGGGTCAGATTTGGCCAGGGCTTTTCAGGACACAAAGTAAGCATTGTTAAGTTTAAACTTTTTATTTTTTAAACAACAATAGTCACCATTGACAATCAAATAGGTTTTATTTCTTTGACTATTTCAATGAGCCTGAAAAGAAACCCCCATCAGCTTTAAGAACTGATTTAGTAATTAATGTCTATATCATCTATCATGCTTATTGTTTGGGTCATTTTTCTGTTGGCTTTTCAAGACTGCTATAGTAGCTCCCATAGCCTTGTGAAATATATTTAAGGGTTTTTATTTTACTGTCTACAACTTTGTTGTTTCTGTTTACTCTTATCACTCATAACTCATTTCCATAGCAGGAAGTAGATTTTACTACATGATTTCTGAAAAAGTAAATCACACAACAAAAAACACAGCATTAGTAGGTAGCTGCACAAAATAGAACTCTAAGAGGCCAGTTTGTTTAAAGAAATGCTCTATCATATGTGAAAACCTCACATTATAACATTTACAAATTGTTTTTCTTCCCCAAGCACTACACTAGAGGTAAATGTAGGTTCACAGTGTGTCATGGAAGAGGCTCTACCATCAGAAGTTAACTTCTCATTGGCAAAGGACGTGGGCCTACATGAACCCAATCAAGGACAGTGCTGTTGGCATAACCCAACAGTTAACAGCTGCACTGGGAATTATCATCCTAACCATGATCTACAATAAACTTTATTTTGAATGAACGTTTCATCATTTCTTTCATAGTTTTTTTTTTCACTGATCTTTAGTATTTTCGCAGTCTTCTCTGAAGTTTTCCTCAAAGCAAACCCAAGCAAACTCATTATTGAGCTGAGGCAGGATATAGCCTCCCATGAACTCTGGTGCCATATGTGACAACTCCGAAGGCTACTGCAGCAAACACTGACACCAGTGTAGAAGAGGAAGCAAAAAGAAATGTCATGAGTTTCAAAAAAAAAAAAAAGGCTCCAAAAAAACCACTGGAATGTGATATCACCAAAACAATGATCTTGTTTTTAGGATGCTTTCTGTACAGAGGGCATGATGGCTGACATGACTGTTCCCCTTTATGGCTTTTGTAGTTATTGCTGGTGAAAACAGCACGTCTGCTGTAAAGGCTGAAGGCTTTTAATACAAAGTGAGTTCTCATCAAAGAGATTTACCCTGCGGCCCATGACTTACTGTGATTGCACAACATCCAAAACAGATTCTTTAGACAGAGACAATGTGTTGGTGTTGGTTTTAGTTTGATTTCATGAAACCATCACGTTATGTTGTTTTATAAAGCATTATTAAGTCATGTCTGATCAACTGCTTCGATAGGTCAACAAATACAATTACATATAATACTTATCCTACAAATGAATTTACACATAGACTGTAAATACAACTTACAAGATATCAAACTAAATCACACAGCTGTACACATATTTGGTTGTCGAGAAACTGATACGAGAAGATTCATTTGTGGAAATGAGTGTTTCTACATATTTAAACATTTAGTCTTGTTATGACGTTTTTTTTTTCATTCTAGACTTCCGTTTTAGATTAGGTATAGACCTATGCTGCAGTTAGTTGGTTTTGGTCTACTCCTACTCCCCACTAAGTATCTACGTGCCATCATGATGAGACACACAATATGACATTAAGGGTATCATGTGCAAAGTTCAAACCACACCGAAGTTCCCCTTTCAGATGATAGCTCTAACTAACTTACTTTAACAGTGGTCGACACTTTAGTGTAGCTTGACCCTGTTATTATAATTATAACTATATTATTATTATTATTATTATTATTATTATTATTATTATTATTATTATTATTATTATTATTATTATATGCTGTTGTGTGAATACTGTAAACTGTGTATTGTCTTAATATTTGCAAACTATGGTTTTGTCCAGCATTTATTCTGAAAGATACAGAGCGGAAGTCTAATTCTTGTTCTTTCCTGCAAATCGAGCTGAGTTCCGCGGAGGTTTCCACTTTCAGCCTGAGGTAGTTCACACACTGAACCGACGATGGTGACGCGAGCTGCGTTGTTGCTGCTCGGACTCGGAGTGTGCTCGTGCCGGGCAGAGATCGCTCCACCCACCCTCAACATCAGCCTGGACGATGACCCAGAGGTGCGATGGGTGCCTCTAACGGAAATCTTTGACGCAGACTTTCTCAAAAAAGCCGCCGCAGAGGTCATAGAGTAAGTGTTTTAGGCTCTTTGTCTCACGTCATGGCGTTAATAACGGTGGTTACAGTCGTTTGAAAAGTTGACCATAGTTCTGCGTAGTCCAAAGTAAAGCTGAGGCTAAGTGAATTGAAAACAGGACTCAAATGGCATGATAAACTTTAAGCACTGTCTGTAGTTGTATAAACGTCACACTTTGAACTTTAGTCATTACTGGCACAGCCGCAGAGAGCTAAACAAATCTTGGTCTGTTCTGTGTGTGTTATCACATTGTTTTCCAAATGAATCAGCAGACAGACAAACACAATTTTTTTTTTATGATGATCATGTTATTGTTGTATCAAGTGCTGACACATCACACTGACATGTTTTTGTGTAAATAACTGTTTGTCTTTGCCAGCTCCACTGTTCCAAAATGGGTGCATCAAGCAGTCAAACCCATTGTAGTGGCCTTGGACAAGTACATTCCCCAGCCTTACGCAGGGGAGATCCGCGGCCTCGCAGAACACTTTGGAGGAAGCCTTTCAGATATCATCATTCTTAACTTTGCCTATGAAGTATCAGCGTATGTATAAACTATTAAATGATGTATGATGCAGAAACACAGGGTGTCAAACAATGATGAATGTGAAACCCTGTTTATACAGGCAAACAAACATTATGTGTTTGTAGATTTTGCACCAGCATCATAGCCCAGGATAAAAAGGGACACCTGTACCATGGCAGGAACCTTGACTATCCACATTCGGTTTTGAGGAATCTGACAGTCAACCTAGTTTTCCTCAAAAATGGAGAGGTACAGTTACAGAAACTACTCTCAAAAAACGAGAAACATCTGCCACGATTTATACAGACAGATCCATTAGTTTAATATGAACAGATACTAAAAGAGTTGTCACATTATGAAAAAAGTAGCTATGCAATTGATAACTGTTTGTTGACATGACTCATTCAGGTGGCCTACCGTGGAACTTCATTTGCGGGCTATATTGGCCTGTGGACAGGACAGAGTCCTAACAAGTTTACTGTGTCTGGTGACCAGCGAGGTAAGACCACACTTCCTCTCAGCACTCGTTTATTCAAATACATTTACAAGTCAGATGTTAAAGATTCTTTTGGTTTTATGTTTTTTTGTCGTCGTCGTCATCATCAGGCAGTGAACACTGGTGGAACTGGTGGAAGAATTTGGTGTCTGCTTTCCTCTTTCGGAGATCCCCAGTTAGCTGGCTAGTTAGGCAGGTGAGGTGGTTTGCAGAAGTCAGTTTACTGTGGAGGATTACTGAATGAAGAAATGAAACTTTGAATGATTAAGTGTTACTTTTATAGACACTGGAGGAAGCAGAGGACTTTCAGGATGCGGTCATGCGTCTTTCCAAAATCCCCATCATCACTGGGGTGTATTACATTGTGGGTGGTGTGCGAGCAGGGGAAGGGGCGGTCATTACTCGAGACCGGACCGGCCCAGCTGATATCTGGCCCCTGGATCCTGTTAATGGAGAGTAAGAGGCGAAATACAGTATTGGAGAAAAATCTGGTGTATCTGGGTGTGTTTTACATTACTTTAATCAAGCATACAATTGTGCCTCCCTTTTTTACTGTAAGATGGTACAGAGTGGAGACAAACTTTGACCACTGGCGCCCCCACCTGCCAGAGATCATCGAAGGTGAGTTATCTCACACGATGGATACTTAAGCAATATTACAGCTGTCACAATTATTAAATATCTTTGGTTTTATTTCATAGAGAAGCAGCAAACATAGCACTAAATGCTACTGGCCAAGACCACATCAACATAGAGACACTTTATCAGGCAAGTGTCGACTAATGGATCAATATTTCAGGGGAATGTGATAACAAAAGAAAATGTTTACTGGACATTTTATATTCACAGACAATGAAAGGATGTGTAACAGATTCTTTCCCTGCAGGTTTTGTCTCTGTTTCCAGTGTGTAACGGGTAAGTAGCACGTTATTTAAGTCATGACACATGACTGTTAATGTCGCTGAGATGGGGCAGTTTAGTGCATACCAGTTTCTATTCCATTTGCCCCACCTCAGCAATAATGTCAATGAGCCTTTGTTTTACACCATACCTCAGCACATAGCAAGTAGCATATAGGGAAGCTTTGGCAGATTTTCAGTTGAAGCATCCTTGTGTTTAACATATGGAGTGCATGCTGTACAGGCACCTTGTTTAAATAAATTGGATGTAAATAAATAATATCCTGCTATGTTCTTCTTGCAGAATTACAGTTTACACAACAACAATGAGTGCAGCTTCTGACACATACAGTACACTTGTCAGGCCAAAGGTAATTCATTGCAACTTAAACTGATATTTGTTTGTAGTACTCTAGTTTTCCACCTGAATCATTTTGTTTTCAAATATATTATTATTAGTAATGAAGTGGTGATAACAGAAAATAGGAGACCCTAATACATCCTTTTTTTACTATCATTCAAGGGCTGCAGACCGACCTGAAAGACACAGAGCAGTCCACACACAGACTGATGCTGCAGTGGCCTTCTGTTTCAGAACTTTAAATTATTTACTTATCTGCAGGTTTCATGATAATGTGGAGATTGTATGACAAATGGATAAGAGAGGGAATTTTGATTTCAACATTTTTCGGATGACAGTGCTCCTCGATATCTAATAAAAAAAATGTTGACATTTTTGTCATATTGATCTGGGTCCGTGTACGAAGTATAATTCATTTGCAGTAGTTCATGTTGTGAAATAAAACATGCCAGTTTAAGGGGTATTGCCTAATTTCCTTGTCCGACTTGGCGAATGCGAATATATGTTGACGCACGTTAAGTTTGCAGGTGAGGTACTTGTGGTTTAAAGTAGGTTTACACTTTTTTATACAGGGGGAAGTTTTAACGTTGTTCAAGCCGTTTGGTGAAGAATATTCACTGAAATTATCAGTTTGAACAGCACTGAAATACATCGCTCTGCTGCATTATGTAATCTTGTTTAATTTGAACGCAAGTTAATTATAGCCTACTTCATACACGCCCATGAATTGAGAAACTATTTAAAAATGTTAAACACAGAACAACTTCAATATGCTGAGGGAGAATGAGGCGCCTTGAATTGAATTAACTGAAGTATCATTACTAATCATTACCAGTTAATCAATACTTAACTTCACTTTTAAGAGTTTGACAAGGCCAGGCACAATAGGAAATGTAAAAGTGCATACAAATGTGAAAGGACTCCTGTACAAAGTGCTTTATCTTTTTAAATGCAATGGATAAAGAAGTTAAAGAAGTACAGGGGAGCCATCTTAACATTTTTTTTTCATTGAGACTGTATGGAATTCTTAACTTGACATACTATAGTCCTGTAATAACACAGACATTTTTAACTAAAACGCTTATAACAATAAATGCATCCACAATAAAAGTACCCTTTTTTTAAATGCATTATTAATAAAATAAAGAAGTAATCAGAAGGTTTCATCGCTGCACTCTCTCTTATTTAACCTGCTGCTGAGGTCGAGTATCGTTGACCTGACTACTGTTAGTACCTAGAAACCAATTCTGTATTTGATTTTAATTTGAAATCATTAATAGCATGTTAGCTAGCTGCAGCCAAAGTCATTTCACAGCCAGTATTGTGAAAACCATGAATATGAGTTAAGGGTTGATCCTGTGCATTTAAAGTACTGTTTCTTCCTTTTTTTCAATCAATTTGAATAAATGGCTCAAGAGGGACTGCGTGCAGCTAAATAGGGCAGGACTAGTTACAAAAACTACAAATTGTCAAATTAGCACATTTTAAAACCCATTACACATATTCATAATACCAGTCAGTCTGCATTTCTAGAAATAAAACAGGCAAAACAAATTTTCCAGATGTTGCTGTAGAGGTTCTCTGATGAAGTAAGTCATGATTTTCTATTATTATTATTATTATTTTTTTTTTTTAAATGTTTTTAATATTGCAACGATATTGCCTTGTTGGGTACAGAAATGCTCTATAGGCACTTGGAAATGTATAGATAACATCTTAGGGAAAGTTTGCAGGGAGAATATTTACACAACATCCATGTTTTTCTTAATGAATATTAATTTTCTAATAGAAATTTTTGAACATTTCAGTTTGACATCAGGATTTCATAGCGTTTCACTGCAAAGAATACCTGTTCTGCATGTGGTCTTGTATAAGACAAAAGGTAATACATAGTATAAATGGACCACTCCCACCACACCACTTTCACCACTCTTGGTATCCCCCTCCCCAGCCATTGAGAGTCAATTTCTACATTATATTACATCAAACAAAGCATTTAAAGCCCAGAGAGGGTGAAATATATACGATGTAAGAAAGACTTGAAGTCCTACTTCAGAGGATCAAATTTAGTAAATTGTCTAATATATAAATGTCCGGTCGAAACTAAACATATCAAAAGATAATACACATCAACAAATGAGTTATAGTTGATCCAAAGACATTTGATTGTATATTTTATTTTCTATAGGCTATATTTTCCAATGTAGCCTAATCTAATGGGTCCATGTAATTGATTACCGACCATTTAAGCTGTATTTAAAAGTTAAAACACGTTTCATCACTCGCTGTGATTTTTATGACTATTGCAGATAATTATACCACTCTAAAGCATAAAAACTAGTTCCCTGACCGGGAATCGAACCCGGGCCCCGGCGGTGAGAGCGCCGAATCCTAACCACTAGACCACCAGGGACTATGCGACGATTCGCCAAATTCAAAATTACTAAATGTACTACAGCCTTTACCAGAGTTGATATATATATATATATATATATATATATGTATATATATATGTATGTATACTGTATATATTTCCTTCCTCAACATAATCATCTCCTTTTCCTCTTTAAACTGTGAGTATAATGTATATAGTCTATCGTAAATTGTGATATGTTTCCCATTTTAAAGCACATTTTTCGCAGGTGCTGTATACAGGAAATATACCGTTTGTGTGTTTACGAACAAGTGTTGTATTTAATAGTTAATAGTATTTAAGTCTATTTTTAGGCAGTACTCTCTAGCGCTAGCCAGCAGTGATGGTAAGTTACAGCCATAGACTTATTAAGACTAAAAATGTTAACCTCAAATGCTTTCAGTCGGCGAGATCCCGATATGCGCATGCACGTTTTTTGGTGAGCGCGCAGGACCAGCAACACTTGTCAGTAGATCACATGATATTACAAAGCAGCTGGCTACTTCCTGTGTAGCCTGCACAACAATTCACATCTAGGCTGCAGCAGACAGTGCGACTACTACGGTGTCATCCAAGATGCTGGCCCTCATAAATAGGCTTTTGGACTGGTTCAGGTCCCTCTTCTGGAAAGAGGAGATGGAACTAACTCTGGTGGGACTGCAGTATTCCGGAAAAACCACATTCGTCAACGTGATTGCTGTAAGTAGCTAGAAAGCACTGTCAATGTGGGCCCAGGCTACTACCTGGGAAATGTTTTGGACGAAGGTTTTCCTTGAATGCATAACAAATTAAAATTCATCACCACAAACACTTGTATGTTTACATTTCAGAGCTGAGGAACATGCCTACTTGCTGCTGTTGCTCTGAAATAGAAATCTAATGTGGCACCAGTGCTGAGTTGTTGTTTAGCAAGCTAGAATGACGAAGTTCTTGGTATGACTGTGCGCCTACTCATGAAAGCAGTCATGTGAACGGACTTGTCATTGCTTTGTAATAGCTACTGGTGTGTCAACATCAAGGCTCTGTTGTCAACACAGACGACTTGTTAACTTTGTAAAGAATTTGTCTTGACGTCGTCATCTAGCTATGGTGATCTTATCCAGACCAGGCCTGAAGCCACTCTGTCCAAAGGCTGTAGGCTATTTATATTAATTATGAGAATTGCTCGTGGTATTGTTAGATCTGGAAAAATACTATATTTGTTTTTTGTTTTTATTTATATATAATATATATTTTAATAATTGTCCTCTTTTTTTTAATTTTGTTGGCTTGTTAAGTATTCCACAGCAATTCATGGGTCCGATGTTGGGGTTTCTGAAGTTCAGTTTTGTTTATGTCTGTGTTTCTGTTGATAGACTAGTTCATGAAGTATGTAACCTGACCGTAAACTCACAGTACTATACGCTGCCCTGTTGCTACATTAACCACATTGACTCTCTTTTCTGTAGTGATCATAGCAGGTGATCTGTACTAAGTTTAAAAAAAAAAAAAAAAAAAAAACCTGCTTCCTCCTTAACAGTCATTTCAGACTGGACCCAGAAATGTTACAACATACACAGCAAAGGGCTTTAAAAAAGCCAACATAAAGCTCCACCATATTTGCTTATAGGTTCTCAGGGGGTGTATGTCAAGGTCCTACACAGTGCATTTCAAAGGTTTACATTGCCTTTAAAGGTTGTTCAGGATTATGTTGCACTTACAGCTTTTGCAATGTTCAGGTTACTAAGCACTGCTTGACTGCAGAAAGAGCAATTGGTGATCAATGTCGCTGATGCATAGATGGCATCATCCAAACATGACTCAAGGATTTAGGGGAGTATCATTCAGTTCGAGGCTCCAAACAACTAGAAATGCTGGGCAATTCAATCATTTCTTATTTCATTAACACTGAACCCAAGCACTCAAATGACTCTCATCTACTTGACTTTTCACGTGACTTCTGAATCAGATGAATCCACGTCTGCTTGAATGTATGTAGACTGATTAATACACTGCAAAAACAGCCCTACTAGAATACTAGAGGGAAGCAAAATATCTTAAATCTTAAATATAGTAAAATGTGCCAATCGTACAAATCTGCCAATGGGCTGAGCAAAATGAGCTTTGCTATAATTCTTCCAACTATTTAAAAGTATAGCCACCAGAAGATGGTCATACACCAGCCTACACAAATATGTAAAAATTTAAGGAGGTTATCCAGTATTCAGTAAGTAGTGAATTATATCTATAAAATGTATATTAGAGTTAGGGGGGAAAAAAAACTATTTTTCCATAGCATAGTATTGCAATATTTTGCATGGCGATATATTATCCCATGACCGCCAAGTATCAATATTTTATATATATAAAAACTGAACTGCCCAGCATTTCTAGTTTTAACAAGTTGCTTTGTTAAAAATGACTGCCATGATTATACAGTCATCCATACATGTTTGTGTTTAGTTCAATTAGACTGAAATACTGACTTGTGTAGAAATAAAAAGACTAAATGAGTAGACTGAGAATTTTTTTTTATTTGACAAGACATTTCTCGATTTAGTTTCATTTTGCGGACATAATATTCAATTAAAAAAGTTAAATAGCTATATATTTTATCGCAATTCTCAGCATATCCCAAAATGTGTATATATATATATATTATATATATATATATTATATATATATTAGGAGTGGGAATCACCAGAAGATGCAGGTATTAACAACAAACAGAGTGCCAATACACAGAATGTATACATTTAATGGCACTTTGTATACTATTCAACATAAAATGGAACATCTTATACAAATGTTGATTGTAATGTCTGTTAACTATATAACATGCAACATTCACCAACTTGAGACTCTTTTGTTTGTATTTGTGTCTTTCAGTCAGGCCAGTTCAGTGAAGACATGATCCCCACTGTGGGTTTCAACATGAGGAAGGTCTCTAAAGGCAATGTGACAATAAAGGTAAATGCAATGAATATGACACAGGTACATTGTCTCACTGTCTGCCTGTAGCTGTTTGTTCTGGACTTTCATTCTCATGCTCCTTAATTCATGAC